GTCCTTGCAATCAATATTTTTACACTTTTTTGGAACCTTTTAATATTTAAAGTTTGGCCACAAAACTTTATCGGTTTGACAACTTTGATCCCTTTTCTAAAAAGTTGCTAATTCCTACCCCTTTAATTCTTTAGCCATTTTCACACTTCTGGTCCTTGCAGTCAAAACTTTTACATTTTTTGTCAGGGGCAAAGCCCGAACTTTTCATCCGGGGCAAAACCCGGACTTTTCGTCCTTGCACTTTCTATGTCTGTCATATTTATCAATTCGAAAACAACATTGAAAGCTTCTGACCCCCGCGTAGCGGGGGTAACCTTTCTAGTTTATTATGAAAACTATTAATTTATATATTTATACATCTATGCTAACTTTACATAAATTAGTAAAATAGTCATTATGCCAACAAAAATTCATTTAATTATATAGAAAATATGAATTGATATATTTTATTATTAATCCTTCAAATATTACTATTATTTAATTTTTGTGATATTGAAAAAATAAAACCTAAAAAAATTCAATATATTATCTTATCATATTAGAAATTCCCTGTTTTATATTTTTTTTCATTAAAATCATTTATGTCATGCTCTTATCTAAATTAATACTTTGTGGCCATTTTATATCTTTTTTTTTTATCATGTTATCATAGAAAAAAAATGGTATGTTGTATCATCTAAGAAGCTCATGTCAAGTTCTTTGGATACCAATACCAAAATGGATGAGGTCAATCTCATGACATCAGTAATATTTTAAGTGTGTCAAAATTTTTAAGGTGTTACACCAATCGTCCATCACGTAGATGTCAAAACGCATGTTTAGTCTATATTTTTAAAAAATAATTCGGACTATCCTTCATATCATTAAAAGGTGCACTCTTCATACATCGTTAGTTTAACTTTGCACGTATCATCCATTCGGAGACATAAAAGAACTATACTGCCCTTTTCATTTTCATTTTCATTTTCATTTATTTTTACATTTTTAGTTATTAAAAAGTATTTTAATTATTTTTCTATATTGCTAAAGAATGCTTGACCACCACTACCATCGGTAATGTAATCTACATCATCACTGGAAATGGAGCACCACTGTAAAATGGAGCACCACCGTTACCCATCAACTCATCCCATCCACTCCCAATTTCAAAGCTCACCCGGTCCACTAAAAATAACCACCAACCACTACCTTAATAAATCTTTCATTCACTTTTTGTAAAACTTCGGTGACTTCCACAACAACATCATCTAACCAACCTCCAGTTTGATCTTCTCAAGCTTTTTAAAGCATTTGTTTTGCTTCTGTCCTTTCCTCCAACGAAGGATCCACACAAGAGTGCAGATCTAAAGGGTAAGGAGAAGGTGGGGCAGATTCGTTAACCTCGAGCCGGAGTGCATATCCGCTACCATCTCGTAAGAAAAAAATGAGAGGCAATAAAGGTTTATTGCAACGATGGTGATGTGTAGGTACATATCTCCTTGGAGCTTTCTTTACCACCACTCGTTGTGAGAACTGCAATTTCATTGGAGAAGGTGATTCCCACATCTGCACTCCGTTCGACTATCGTCACCACCCCTCCACCATACATCTATGCAGAAACCCTAACATCGCCGCCTGAACCCTAACTATCACGTGAAGAGAAAGAGAGGCGGTGGTTTCCGGTGTTCGAGTTTGCGATTTGGGTTTGAGTTTCAGATCTCTCTCTCTCTCTATATATATATATATATATATATATATATATATATATATATATATATATGGGTTCGAGATTCAGAAAGGGTTTGATTTTTCATATGTGAATGCAAGTTTTGGGTTTAATATTTGATGTTTGATAATTAGACATGGTTCATCAATGGTGGAGGTGGTGGAGATTGACAATAATTGCAGGTGATGGAGATTGCTTGTAATTGTTGGTGGTTTATGGAGAGTTGCTTGAGTAGGACCATGGTGATATGAAGGAGGGGGAAACAAACGATTTTTGGCTGGTTAGTTTTGTCGGAGAAAGGAAGAGGACGGGCGGTTGTTGGGAGTGGGTGAAAGCCGGAAGACAAAGAAGGAACCGGGGAAAAGGAAGGGGTGGGGATATTTATTTTCATTTTTTTAATTTAAAAATTGATAAATATATAATAGAAAATTAAAAAACAATTTGTTAAAGGCAAAATAGTCTTTTTATGTTTGGATGGACTAAAGCATGAAAGAAAACACAAACCCAGAGACGGTCCAAGTTAATTTTTTGAAATAAGGACTAAACATGCGTTTTGATACATGCACAAGGGACGAATGATATAATTTACTTAGATTTTTATTATAGATTTCACACATAGAATTATACCTCTCAACCATGAGGCTCTCATCATATGGATACAAGTTCATTTTAGTAGTTTTAATAAACATTTGAATAAAAGCATGTTACAATATTGTGATTTGAATGAAGATATATTTCTATAAAATGATCATGAAGCACGTATATAGGTAAGATTAAAATATAAAGTGGTCTTAATAGACAAAATATTACCTAATGTTTTTTTGAGCATTCAAAGATGATACTTTGTGTTTTAGGGTTTCGTTAGAAAAACTAAACTTTAAAAGAGGTTCATTCACGTTATTAGTTTTTAGAATGGGTGAATTTGTATTTTAATTTATAAAGAATTAGTTTTCAAAAGAATTAGTTTTGCCATCCAGAAAGGACTAGTGGTGCAACTTGTTGCCCGTTTGCCTTCCATCGATATGTATTGAACTATATTAGTCGATTTATAAATAATTGATATATTAAATATATTAAAAAATATTTGTTTTGTTTATCTAACCTTTTTTAATCAACTTAATCATTATAAACCTTGCATTAAACCAGTTTTCATACAAACAAATTGTAATTGTCAAATCTAATTATCAATAGTTATATTAATAACTTTGTTTTGATATTAATTTTTGAGAAATTAAATATCCTCTTACTTTTTGTTCTTACATATCCTCTTACCCAATAAAATGGTGATATGTGTAACATTTGATGCTCATTTAATGATATTTTAGGATATTAATATGACACATGTCATCATTTAAATGAGTATGAGGATTGGTAGGAACAAAATGTAGGAGAATATTTAATTTCTCTTAATTTTTTTGCCTTCCCGTAATATTGTTTCTAAAACACCATATCTTGTAAGAAAAATAAATGAAAAGGGGTCAAGTTGTCACTTCTGTATCCTGAAGGAACACTTTGGCTAATATAAAGTTGTTAAAGTGTAAAGAGTGAAACATTTGGAATTTGACCGTTGGGAGAAAAATTCAAATACCCAAACGACGCTCCTGTTCTGTTCACCGTTAATCTCTCTCCTTAATCAATACCATCTCTCTCTCTCTCTCTCTCTCTCTCTCTCTCTCTCTATAGAAACTGATTTAATGGCGGATGAGAGCAAAGACACTGCTATTACTACAGCGATCATGGAATCATCGTCAAAAACATTTCTCCACCCACTTCACGAAATCGCCATGACTCCAACCCACAAGCTTCTCTTAAAGCAATGGCTTAAAGAAGAGGAACTGATCCTGAATCGAATCGCTCTCAAAGAAACCCAGATCGATGCTGTTCGAAAGGAAATCACTCACATTTACTGTTTCTTCTTTCTGTTTCACTCGATCTCACTAATGCTCCTCTTCAGCAGCGCATCTTCGTCTACATCTGGATCATGCAACCGATCATGGATCCCATCTCTCTGTTCGCTCCTCTGTTCTCTGGGATTAATCTGGGCTGTTCGTTACAAGACAGACACAGAATCGCATCTGGAGAAATTACTGGAGAGGGAGAAAGAAGATGGGAAGTTATTGGGGAAGTGTGTGGAGGAATTGAAGAAGAAAGGTTTGGAGTTTGATTTGTTGAAGGAAGTTGATGCACTTCGAAGGGCTAAAAGTTTGAGGGTTGAAGGTAAAGCAGTGAAGAAATGGTCAACGAGAGACTTTGTTACTCTGTTTTTCTTCACTGTTTCTTGTTTGGTTCTTGCTCTTACTAGGGTCATTCTCTGCAATTGATCCAAAATGGTGATATGGGTTTTAATTTTTTTGATTACTTAAGTGGGATTTGGGTTATTTTTCAGTAGATTGGGGATTACAGATGTTTGATTTTTGATGGTGGTGTTAACGGAAACTTTTGGTTTCTGGTTCGACATTGCATAAGTATCTATGAATAGCAAATTACTAAGGATCAGATTCAGACAAAGTAATAATAATAATATAATGTTTTGATTTCAGTTGCTGTCTAAGTTTGATTTTGTTGATTTTAGGATGAAGGTGTTTGGATGTTTGTTACTTTGTTTTTAAAGTGACTGATACGATTTTAGGAATCTTGTATACATGATCATTTGGTTAAAGTTATGGATCATAAATATTTACCGGAACTCTAGAGGTGGTGATAAAATAGTTCCATCCGATGATTAAATAAGGACAAAAAACGGCAAATTCTTTAATTACCAATCAAAACGGCTACTTGTCAAACGTTTTTTGTAGGGTATTTTTTAAATTAATTATTAAATAATTGCTCAATTAATTTTTAGCTAAGTTCCTAAAAGTTCAAAAATCTGATGCAATAGATGCAAGGGTTAGTCTCAAAGCAAAGTGTCGATTGTCTTCTAAGGCTAGTCGGTACACCCCTAACCGCACCCATCTGAGGTGGCACCGTAGTGTGCAGTGAACACTGCACCCGCCCTCCGATTTCCAGTGCAGTATGGCCACCACAAAAAGCTACCTTACGGCACCTCCTTTGTTCCGTTTTGTGACCATTGAAAACTTGTGACCAATTAAAATAAATAAATAAATAAATAAATGTGGAATAAATGTGTGGTATAACATCCATCAGTTTTGTGGTATGACATACTATGGCCTGAGGGGTTGATGTCTCTATTGTGGAGCAGGCAAAGCTATAGTTAGCTGTTTTTTTTTTTTTTTTTACATTTATCATATAATAACCATTCATTTGTAAAGTGCTTTTTAATCGTTTTTTTAAATAACATATATCATATAATATTCACTTATTTATAAAGTTATTTTTTAGTTATTGTACTACTCGTCTCCACCACAATAATCATAAAAGAATTGCAAAATTTTTCGTTTGCGAGATGACATCATATTTTTGTATAATGAGATCGACATTTACCAAAATACAATTGAAAAAATGCATGTTGAAAAAGAGGAGTTATGAAAAGTCCATCTCAATAAATTGGTGGTTATTTTGGAATATTTGTTCAAAAGGGACAAAAATGAAGATAAACAACCTCTAGATAGTCTAACACTGAGTACACATTTTCCATTTCGGTCGTTTTGTAATTAACCCTAAATATGATCCATATTGCTAAATCCTTTGGTAAATGGTTTATGGAGTGGTGTAAATATCCTCATGTGGGAATCAAGCTCCATCAATCTAGTCATTGTGTAACTGGATTGCATTTCACACCACTTCTTGGGGCAAGACGGTGTGAGCCGACCCACCAAGTACCAATAAACACCTTTTTTACATAACGTTGTTACAAGTGGAACAAAACTCCTTTCTTATCACAAAATAGTTGTATCTATATATTATTTATATCGTCACGACTATAACAATTGCATTTTGGTTCAACCATCTTCCGATAAACAAATCATAAGTTTAAATCAAGGGACTTTACATATATACCATCAAATCATCAAGGCCATTCAGGTAATTATTAATTACCTTCTCTAATAATATCATGAAGCATCGGTAGGGAAATATCATGTGTAAAACATGGATGAATTAGTCAAATGGCTTGTACTTGCCATAATGGTACTACATGAATGTGGAAATGCACTATTAAAAGTTGTAGCATTATCGAACTTAAAACCACTCAAATACCCGGGTCGAGTAATACCACCACTTGCTTCAATATCTCCCAAAATCACTGCTACGACACATGACATTGATGATCATCATGTTGGAAATGTTTGCGTGCATAAAACAACAACTATCATCACTCTTTTCATTTCGTTTTCATCAAATTTAGACATTTATTTATCCACGACCTTGATTTCGCGGTTCGATTCATGTAGGTTCCATGCCCAGAATTATAACACACTTTGTTGCTTTTTTTATGTGAAAATGTAAAATTCTATGTATATGTTATAGCAGTGCCATGTGGACATGATATGAACAAATTTTGCCACATAGACGCTATACATGGTTTTGGGTTGATTTATTTATATATGATTATTTGCAGATTTGTCCGGTTTTCCTTTCCTGAATGTCATGCCAAGTTTTTGGTAGAAGTGTTCGAAAGTTTTTTCACTTTGGACATAGAACTTTGTTCGGTTCCCGACTGCAATTGGAACACATGTTTGATTATCTTAAGGATGTCCCAAATTGGACAACATAGGTGGGGTGTTACATTATTCAAAGTTGATGACATAATGATTTGTTATCCCCTTGATCTAATCTTGGTTAATTTGGTGGTGGTGGTCTCTGTGTGCATTGTTCATTATCTAGTAGAGATCACGAAGTGTTTGGGTACTAGAGTAATTATCGGGTTAATCCTATTATATATATGATAGCATTTATTATAAGTGTCCAATGAGTTATTTTTTTAATGAAAGGTCACACCTAGGCTAGTTGTCGAGTAGTTGGCCTAAGTAGTTATACAATGAGACATAACATTGTGTTGATATATTGCATCTATTCCATTAAAAAAACATTTTGAGCTAATTATATCTTATGTTCTATTTTCCTAACATGATCTCATAAGACCATTTTGTCATACATTCTATATTCATAACATGCATAAAGTGTTAGAACGTCCACTATCATAACTAATTTGTAAGATTTTCCATTAATGACATGGTCCTTTTAGGTTGCCCTCAATGATCTAAATAATATTAAAATGTTAGAGAAGAGAGATACAAATAGTTCATTAATTATTCATGTGATGATAAATTAATTACAAATTAGTTTGAATTAATTGGAATTAATTTGTACTAATTAAAAGGTACACAGACTAAATGTTAGTTGTTGAATAGTTGGAAGGTTCTAGATCCTTTGGAAGGGGTGGACGGAAATTGCAAGAGATATCCTTATGATAAGGAAATAATTTTGAATTCTAGATTAACTTGAACAAGACATCAACCCCTCAGGTCATAAAAGGGTGCAAATGCCATTAGAGCCCCTGTCATAAAGGAAGACGACATACATTTGTGTGTCGTAACCTTTTGGCGCACATTTACGATACGCATTCATGACACGCCTTACGTGTCATTAAAGACCCTTTCATAAAGGAAGACGACCTAAATTTTTGTGTGTCATAATTTTAAGTGTTGAAAAAAAATTATAGATTTACTAATTTTCCAATTAAATGACAATTAATGTCTCATAATACAATATTAAATACGTATATAACAAAACAATCAATTTCATACAATAAGCAAATAAATGTACTAATATCCAAACTGAATCACATTCAATAAATTCATTATATAAAAAATATCATCTATCAATCTAACACTTTCTATTAAGTTTATAGAAGAACACACTAGTAGCAACAACAATTCCTACAACAGTTTTTGCAAATAATGTAGTGAGAGGTGGGGTGAATGTGAACCCAAGCTCTGAAATCACTACATGTTTTTAGGACACACTTTTGCATATCATAAATCATTGCGTGTCATCAAAGACCTATATTCTAGTAGTGACTTCTTCGAATCGTGGGAAGGATTATTTTTAACATTAGTAATTTGGAATTGTTGGGTGTGAAGTGAACTATTAGATATGATCTACTTTGGTTACTCTTCTTTGGATTGGTGAATTCGATTTCTACATCAAAGGTCTTTAAGCAAATTGGTTTTGTTAAAGGTTAGTAATTTTGATCCCTCTTGTAATTGTTCATATTATTTAGGTTAAGATTCTTGTAGGTTTTAGTTGTTTGTTTGCCGTAGATTAAAATACTTGTTTCCACTGTCATATAATGATCTAGGGAAGTATATAGAAAACCTATCATAAAGATCCAAGAGTAAATCATAGAGAAATTATGATCGATCATCGATTATTACTAGGCACTTTTGTATATAACAATAGTGAAGAACATTTTGTACGGTCTTTTTTTTAAGATAATTACTGTAGTAAAATGATTACATAAACTATTAAAAGAATCTAATAAACAAACTCAAGAACTGCAAAATTCATTTCTGTAAATATTCTTTGTGCAATAAATCATTTAGATTTTGTGTATTAAATCATTCAATTACATGTGGTTTTTGTTATTGGTACAATACCAATTTGTACTAACCAAACTAGTTGGTAACCAATAAGTTAGTACCAATTATGTTTGCCTATTTGGTACGGTAGTAATAGCTAAATTTGTATACCAATTATAGTTGGTACGGTACATGGTTTATAGAAAAAATGTCCTATACTGCACCATGTTCATCTCTAGTACAAATGGCCAAGGTTTTCAGTCTAGCATGGAGCTATATTTCCAATGTGGATTAAGTTCCTTGACTTGTTGGTAATGAGGCGTTATGTCATGCTCCTAACGAGCCACTACGTACGTAATATAGATCTCATATGATGCTTTTGGGAAGAAACAATTTGGTTCGACTTAACTGTGCCTAACATAAAACCCTTTTTGGTAGAAAGTTATTGTTGAGACAATATTATTTTACACATCACAATAAAAGGTTTTATCTATAACTCATTCATACCATCAATATTATAACAATTACATTTGCGTTCAACCATCTTCAACATTTAGGTCACATACCTTCTCCCACGATATTGTGAAGCATCGGTAAGGAATCATCATGTGAACGTGGTGAAACTATTGAAATCGTACTATCACTTTTAAATGTTGTAGAATCGTAACACTCGAAACACGACAGGTATTCTGGTCGAGTAATGACACCAGTTACTTCCATATCTCCAGAAAGCATTGCCACCACACGTGACATTGATGGTCGTTGTGTTGGCGAGGTTTGCGTACATAAATGGGCAATTCTCATCATTCTTTTCACTTCCCCCTCATCAAATTCAGACAATT